TATTATTATTATTATTATTATTATTATTATTTTCATTTTTAAATAGCAGTATTTCATTTCATGACTTGTCTGCGTGAGAGAACCGGGAAGACCAGAGCCGGGGAGGGAGGGGCGTTGGCGGAAGAGAAAAGGGGGAGGGTCTTCTGTAGCATCTGGCTGCAGATGCCTGGGTCAAGGAGGCCCCTGGGGTGGGGTGGGCAACAAAGTCCTCTTAAGGGTCAAGGGTCACTCCCTTGGGTCCCCCGCAATCCCCAGCTGGGATCTGGCCACTGCAGGCCGAAGTGATGTAGGTGGGCTGCCAGAAAACGGGGAAGGGAAGCTGTGTGTGTGTGTGTGTGTATTGGCCATTCCAGCCCCTGGGAGAGGGTCTCCCCTCGTCCCCCTCTCCCTGCCCAGACTAGAAACCGCTGGGTGAGGGGGGTGCTCTTCTACAGGAGACTACCCCAGTCAGGAACCCCCCCCCCCCGTGCCTGGCGGTGTCTTCAGCTGCAGCCTGTCTTAAGGGGGGGGGTCCAGGCTCTTAACCGTTTTGCATCCTTTAATTTCCACCTTTAAGAGAGAAAGGGGGCTTCTGAAAAAGCCCCCCCTTCTCTCCCCAATTGCCCTGCTGGAACGAGGGGCCGATGATGATGATGATGGCGGGTGACTGGCCTGGCAGGCATTTCAGATTTTCCCCCTTAGAGAGAGGGGGGGGGAAGAGGGGGGGCTCCGAACGCAGAGCTACTGTGTCCTTCACCACCTTCTCCAGCACTAAGTGCATTTACAAATAAACTGAGAATGTGTTTTTATACGGAAAAAGCAACCATTATATTCTACTGTGAGAAGTGCCCTCGGCACTGTTATTGTTTTGAAAACGAGAGATAACAAAAAAGCTTGGGGAAAAAACCCCACCACTTTTGTCTCCGAATGTCTGTCTTTTTTCTCTTCCCCCCCCACCCAAAAGACATTAAATCTAGGCTTTCACTGGATCCGTGTCCTGGATCGTCTTTGCGTGCTGCTCTCACCCCATGGACCCCCAGAGCAGGGGGGGGGGGGCTTGGAGGCGCCCCGGCCGGGGCCAAGGAGGTTCTTCCTACAACCAGCCACGTGGAAAGGGGGAGCCAGAGGGAGCAAGTCAGAACCCTTTGAAAACGGGGGAGAGCCCCATGGAGAATGTGGTGGGGCAGTTGGGTGTGGGGGCAGAGCAGGCCTCCTTCCTCTTTTGGGGTGGGTGGGCTTCCCTCCACGGTGGCCTTGCCATCCTGTGTTGGGGATGGAGCCTCCCCTTTCAAGGGGCTTTCTGGCCATCGCCCCTCCCTTTGTCTTCCTCTGGCCAAGACAAGTGTCCGGTGGTGTCTGGAGAGGAGGGGGCTTTGGCCCTGAAAGCAGCTGAGCCTTCAGAAGGGGATTTTCAGGATGGGGGGGGAGGCATTGGAGCCCGTAATAGGAGGGGGCAGCATCTCCGCCCCTTCCCACTTCTTGGCTGGCAAAAGTGGAGGCCAGAGAGACGCCCTGCCAAGTGTGGTCTCCGTTGTCGGCCCCGGTGGCTGTTTTAGGGCGCAGGCTGCAGATTCCCCTTATAAAAAGGGGAAGGGGTTTCAGCTGAGCCCCCCCCCCATTTGTTTCAAAGCTGCTCTTCCTTTGCCCCCCCCGGGGAGGGGAGGCCCCTGGCCCTGAATTCCAGCCAGGTCCAGCCATCCGCTGCAGCCGGTGATGCCCCACCTGTTGGACGGCTGCCTGTCGCCCACCTTGGGAGAGGAGCAGGACTTCAGGCCATCCGTTGGGGTTTGCTGCCCTCTTGTGGCCCAGGTCCCAACCTGCAGGGAGGAAGGACGGAGGCCAATGCGGTGGGAGGCATTCAACCTCTTCTGAAATCACTCAAGACCACTGAGGGGTATTGCAACCCCCCCCCCCTCAAAAGCATAGAGCACAATAGAGATGCTTTGGATTTTATTACTAAATAAATAATTCAATAAAACCTTGTGCAAAATACCGTAATTTTCAGAGTATTAGACGCACCTTTTTCCCTCAAAAAAGAGAGAAAATCTGGGTGCGTCTTATACACTGAATGCAGCATTTTTGGCCTCCCGAAACCCCACCCCCTTTGCCCAAATGGCCGTGCAGAGCCTTTAGGAGGCTTCTAGAGAGCTCCTGGGGGGTGGGGAGGGCAGAAATGAGCAAAAAACGGGCTGTTTTTTGCTCGTTTTTGCCACAGCCCCCAGGAGCATTCTATAAGCCTCCTAAAAGCTCTGCACGGACATCTTTTTGACAAAAAATGGGTCCGTTTTGGGGAGTTCTGCAGAGTGCAAAAACCTTTTTAAAAAATTGCCTCTTCAAAATCTTGGTGCGTCTTACACTCTGGAAAACACAGTACTACTATCAGAGGAGACTCACAATCCCCAGGCAGCGTGAAACACACACACACACCCGGAGCCTCCCTGCGTGTTTTCAGCCAGCAGGAAATTCACGCAAAACTCAGCCCATGGCACCTTCAAAGGAGCCACGTTGGAGGATCACTTGATGCCTTTGGAATCGTGGCCCTTGTGGCATCGTCCTTCGGCATTTGGAGCCTCCGGTAAGGACAAAATCCTCAGATCCTGAGCCTCAATCCTCAATCTCTGGGCGGTGTTGCCCTTGGGATGCAATGCGGCAACCTAAAACCAGGTTTCCAGTTTATCTCCTTAGGAGTGTTTTTAAAAGCCACTTTTTGTTCCAAATGCAAGAGGCTCGACCCCTCCTCTCCCATTCCGGTTCCTGGAAGGCTGGCTGGGACGCAGAAGGCAGCTCCATCAAGATCCCCGTTCGAGGGGCTCCCGTGAGGCCACAAAGGCTGTCCCGGAGTGTGGAGGTTGCTTGGCCCTTAGATCTGAGCGTCTTCCTTCCTCCAGCTGTGAGGGTAGCTGGGCTTGTGCGCGTTTGCTCCCGCTGAGCGCAGGCTGTCCAGGGGCACCACCACCTCGTCTGGCTGGGAATTCTTGTTCAGCTCCACCACACGAGGCACCACCGTTGACCAGCGATCTGCACCCCACCCGAGAGAGAAGGGGGGTGTCAGCAGCAGAGTCCGCAGCCCCGGCATTTCCGTGGGGAGCAGGAGCCACCCAACCGCCCCCCTCACCTCTGCGCAGGCGCCCCACGGTGTGGGAGAAGCCGTAATACTGGTAGGTGTCGTTCTTGCCGGGGTCCTCGTTGATGATACCCAGGTTCTGGTTCCAGTGAGACCAGTTCACCTCATCCACTCTGCCAGGTTTCAATGCCAGAAAGGGGGGAGGGATCAGAAGGACCAAAGAGGGCCAGCCTTTCTCCCCCAAGCTGAACCTCTTGGCTCAGGGAGTACTTTCAATGGCATCAGCTTGCCCAGGGCCTACGCAGAACCCCCCAATCAATGCCTGTTTTGGGAACTTTTTGCTGGGGCTCAAGCTGGGGTCCCTACACCCTTCCACAATTTAGACAAAGGCTCAATGGGTGCAGCCAAGCCCTTCCTGAGCCCCACAACCCTCCCAGATCAGGAGAGAAAGGGGGAAGGGGCTTTCAGGAGAGCGTGAAGAGACTTAGACAACTTCGGAGAGCAGCTGGGTGGTCTTCGGATGTGAAGGGAGGCTTCCATGACCACCTGCAGTGCCTCCAAACATTGAGGGGAATCAATAAGAATAAAGAGGGGCTGATTCTGCACAGCTGGACCAGGCCCCCAGTTCTCTATTCCTCCTCCTCCCGTGGGGCCAAAACTCGGGGGCGTCTCTACCTGAAGCACCACCTCCGGTCGGGGGCCCCATCCAGAGACTTCCCCACGGTGACCATCTCTCCCGAGCGGAAGGCCCTCCGGACGAACACGGGGAAGGAGCGCTCGATGTCCAGGATGGTGGTGGCCCACTAGGGATGGAGAAGACTTGATTGATTGATTGATTGATTACATTTATATGCCGCCCTTTTCCCCAAAGGGGACTCAGGGCGGCTCACAATTCAGTCAGGGAAGGGGGTACAGGCAGGGGATAAAAAGACGAACATAACAATACAAAATTTAAAAACACACAACAACCATACCAAGAAGAGCCAAGGTGGCGCAGTGGTTAAATGCAGCACTGCAGGCTACTGCTAGATCAGCAGGTCAGCG